CCAACTTCGAAAATCTAAAGACGCACAGTGAAAATCAGTAAAAATTAAGCAGCGACGCAACTTCGAAAAAAAAAAACGCAAAACGAAACGACGCAAAGCGAGGTATTGGTGTATTTTTTTTTTTTTTTTTTTTTTGTTGTTGTTGCTATTGAAGGACATAAATGCTTGGAAAAGCTCGAATAAATAAATAAAAATTCTATAAAAGGCATTCCTGATTGGATAAATATCTTGGTTGCTATACGTGTATATAATATTGGAAGCGATCATAACAACCATAACGTATTTATAATTATAAAAAAAATAATAATTAAATATAGAAAAACTATATTTTATAGTTCATTTAAACACTTTAATACATTTTTATAATCAAAGTGAGGCTATATTTATAAATGGTTATAAAAACTCCCTGTAGATGGCAGCACGCGATCCATCCAAACGTACTTGTATTTCAGGTTAAAAACGTAAATTCGTGTGGTCATAAAAACAAATATAATTACACCTTTGATAAAAAAAAATTCAACCAGGGAAGAGTTTCTTGCAAAAAATTAATTTAATTAACTCAGGTTTTTGGGCCTTAGAGCCCATCTACAGGAGTAAGGTTGATTTTTTTTCGAGATATTATATCCAGCGTGAGAAATCCTTGAAAGCTGATCTCTCAGATGGTGAATAAGCAGTTTAACACAAATATTAAGAAGGGCCTCAATTTTGTGGTTTAAAATATTCATTTCAACTTACACTCTTGAACTTCTCCTTTGCATGTGCAACGGAGTAGTGCTTCAAAATATAAAATTTGATTAGTTTTTATGAAATATGTAGGAATTTAGGTTTATAGGAATCGATATTAAAATTATTATGAGACATATAGAGAGACGTATATTAAGTTGTATATTATTAGAATGCAAAAAGTTAAATAAAAAATTAGACAAATATTAATTATAAATAATTAGTTATTCATTAGAACACTCCTATATGGCATTCCCTATATACCAGGCTGAATCAAAACTTCGTTCCTATAAATAAGAGATTTTATTAACACATTATAAATATTGAGTAAAATCAATCATTCCTCCAAGGAAATGTGTCTTCCCTGGAGGAATGATTGATTTTACTCAATATTTATGCAAGGCATTATTTTATAGAACATTATAAATAATTATAAACAAAAACTAGTTATTCGTTGAAGACTGTCATTTTCAATAAGTCAGCCATCTTTTTGTCAGGTTTTCAATTTACTGACGACACCATTGTCCGGGTTTGAAGTCACGACAGGTAATTCGACGTCTTGGAATGTTTCAAAGTGTCTTCCCCTTAGAAATGTAACCATGACCAAAATAATGCACTATCAGATGGCGCAATATCCTAGCTATAATCAGGGTGAGGTTGAACTTCAATACCTATCAAATCCTTTATTCTATTGTTGTTAACCAAGCTCGATGAGCTAGAGCGTTGTCATGTTGCAGGAATACTCTCGTTGGGTTGATCAAAGCAGGGTATCGAATCTTCAAAACTTCATATACTCGGCTGAGTTGTTCTGAGTAGAGTTCGGCATTAACTGTATGACCATCAGGAATAAGTTTGTAGTGTACAATACCATCGATGTTCCACCATACAGACAACATCACTTTATGTCCAAAGCGATCCTGTTTAACTACAGGTTTAGCCTCTTGATCACAGGGATCCATTGTCTTCTTGTGTCGGGGTTACGAAGATAGATCCACTTTTCATCCCCAGTTACAATCCGCTTCCACAACCGAAGATCTTGCGGATTTTCTAGCAATGGTATAGATTTAAATAATTGAGTTTGTATTTTTTATTCATATTTGATTTCGTATTTTATATTATACGAAACAGACAGACAGACAGAAATTGACTTTTATATATATAGAGAGATTTACTCTTCATTGTTGGCTTTTTAACTTACATTAATTCTTCATTGTTGGCTTTTTATATTACATTCACTCTTCATTGTTGGCTTTTTATCTTACATTCATTCTTCATTGTTGGCTTTTTATATTACATTCACTCTTCATTGTTGGCTTTTTATCTTACATTCATTCTTCATTGTTGGCTTTTTATATTACATTCACTCTTCATTGTTGGCTTTTTATCTTACATTCATTCTTCATTGTTGGCTTTTTATATTACATTCACTCTTCATTGTTGGCTTTTTATCTTACATTCACTCTGTTGGCTTTTAATATTACATTTACTCTTCATTGTTGGCTTTTTATCTCACATTCACTCTTCATTGTTGGCTTTTTATATTATATTTACTCTTCTTTGTTGGCTTTTTATCTTACATTCATTCTTCATTGTTGGCTTTTTATATTACATTTACTCTTCATTGTTGGCTTTTTATCTCACATTCACTCTTCATTGTTGGCTTTTTATATTATATTTACTCTTCTTTGTTGGCTTTTTATCTTACATTCATTCTTCATTGTTGGCTTTTTATATTACATTTACTCTTCATTGTTGGCTTTTTATCTTACATTCACTCTTCATTGTTGGCTTTTTATCTTACATTCATTCTTCATTGTTGGCTTTTTATATTACATTCACTCTTCATTGTTGGCTTTTTATCTTACATTCATTCTTCATTGTTGGCTTTTTATATTATATTTACTCTTCATTGTTGGCTTTTTATCTTACATTCATTCTTCATTGTTGGCTTTTTATATTACATTTACTATTCATTGTTGGCTTTTTATCTTACATTCACTCTTCATTGTTGGCTTTTTATCTTACATTCATTCTTCATTGTTGGCTTTTTATCTTACATTCACTCTTCATTGTTGGCTTTTTATCTTACATTCATTCTTCATTGTTGGCTTTTTATATTACATTCACTCTTCATTGTTGGCTTTTTATATCATATTTTACATATGGTGTTATCTTAAAATTGCTTGTTTTGAATATTTTTTAGATTGAGATTATTAGCTAGTATGTAAAAAAATTAACTCTGTTGAAATTTTTTTTTATTTAATCGATAACAGCGAAGTTACGCATGTTAATGTTAGGAAATATATTTTGATGTTAAGCAAAACCTGCTCCATCTCGTTTTACATAAATGTTGAAAATTTGGTTGAAATTGATGCATTGTAACGAAAGTTTTTAGTGATGTCCACTTATGAAATTTCCATTTTATTAATATAGACTAGCGGATGTGTACCCGGCTTCGCCCGGGTTTTATCCGAGTGAAAGTTTGCCTAACGAATATTATTGATAAAAATATTCGGGAACACACAGAATATTATGATAATATAATACGTTACGTCATATATTTATATAATATATGAAATTTATTTTTCGAGCAAACATATCCACTCTCTACTGAATAGATTTTTAAGAAGATATACATAAATAAAAATATCTAGAGATATACTACATTATCTTAGCCAAAAGGCCGAGAAACGATATTTTATATATAGAGATGACCTGGCTTCGTGTGTCTTCTGCTCGAGTGAATGTTTCGCTTGTAGAATTTTGTTCCTGCCTACTATTAATCATTATCTGGCTTCGCCCGTGGTCTGCTTTAGTGAATATTCCCTAAAAAAATTTTTAAATGCAATTAAGCATGATACGGCAATATTGTCATCATCATTCCTGACAAAAAAATATTGTTGCTCAGTACTTGGATAAATATGATTTTTCTTGGTTAAAGTGCGACAAAAAAACTCTTCCAGATTTAACTCTCTGTCTTGTTCAAATTTCAGCGAGATTAGTTACATATTGAGGGCGTGCATAGCCGACAAACATATATATATATATATATGTTCCCGGCTTCGCCCGATTTTTACCCGAGTAAAAGTTTGCTTAACAAACATTTGTTAAAACGATTCCAGCAAACATACAATCCCTACTGAATCTATACTTGTCTACACTCTCGATAATTTTTTTCTCGGTCTCTTGAAAAATACTCGATAAGTTGAAAAAAATAAGTATTAATTGGTCCACTCGGTAATTTGAAGTTGAAGGAATAGTATCTTGCCACAAACGAAGATTTGTAAATAATGGCGCGTTATTGGTTTGTGTTAATTTATTCCTAATGGTCGTGTCTTTATAGTTTGCTGAAGAGCATTGCTCGAAGCAAATATTTGAATGTAATTCTACTGTCCTATAAGCTTATATCCATAGTTTACTTGAAAACCATTCCTAAGATTCCATCCTTTAGTGTAGCATATAAAAGCAGAATGATCCAATACAGTATTAGAGCTCTGAGAAGCGGTCTGGTGGATTAAATTGGCGAAACCTCTGGGAGGGTTCACCACTGATGAGCCAAGCCCTCCCAATATATTTTTTCATCGCAGTAAGGACAGTAAAAGTTCGTTTTGTGTATAAAAGAAACATTCGCGCTTTTAATTCCTTTTATTTTATATGTATAGATGGCGCGTTATTGGTTTGTGTTAAAATAACTGTATTTAGCGAATGTACCCGGCTTCGCACAGTTTTTATCCGGGTAAAGGTTTGCCTAACGAACATTTGTTAAAACGATTCCAGAAAACATCCAATCCACCTATATATTGATTTATAAACATATATAAATATAAATATTGTTATATGCGTTTAAATATATTTTTGAAACACATATTTTTTTAAAAACATTTATTATATTTCAAAAAGGATATTGTCACTTTTGTGAATTTGATAATTAATTATTTCTTTTTTCTCACAATGAATTATATATATTAATTTAAAATTTCATTTTTGTTATCATCATCAAATACAATGTAATCCTTATCCTTATCCTTATATATATATAAAAATGAAATGCGAAATCGATGTTTGTTATCGCATCACGCAAAATCTACTGACTCAATCATTATGGAATTTCGCATGTAGGTGGCTGAAGATTTCGTTTAACATATAGGCTATTCAAAAAAACTAAAAAAGTTAATGTGCTTTTTTTTTAAATAAAAAACCAAAAAGCGTTAGTTCCAGTCTTTTACCGCTAGGGCGCAGCACTGGTCGCGACGATAAATGAATTTGATTTTTTTAAAGCATCGGTGGTTCAGTGGTAGAATGCTCGCCTGCCACGCGGGCGGCCAGGGTTCGATTCCCGGCCGATCCATTTTTTTTTTAAATTTTTAAAACTCATTAATATTATATCTTCTATATAAATGGAAATTTCATAAGTGGTGTTCGCTAAAAACTTTCGTTACAATGCATCAATTTCGACCAAATTTTCAACATTTATGTAAAACGAGATGGAGCAGGTTTTGCTTAACATCAAAATATTTTTCCTAACTTTAAAATACATAACTTTGCTGTTATCGATAAAATACAAAAAATTCAACAGAGTTAATTTTATTAATATATAAATACAAAAAAAAATCAGCAATTCATTCAACTCAATCTAAAAAAATATTCAAAACAAGCAATTTTAAGATAACACCATATGTAAAACAGTCGGCCAAGAAAACAACAACGATGTTACATCTTTCTCACATATTCACACACAATCTTGATTAATAATTAAAACTAATCTTTAGCATTGTTTATTATACTTCATAATATATAATATTCGTTAGGCAAACTTTCACTCGGATAAAACCCGGGCGAAGCCGGGTACACATCCGCTAGTTTTTTTATATAAACAAACGATAATAAATTATGTATTTAAGTAACCCAGGTTCCTGGAGCGTACGCGATAATAAACAACAACAATTAGGGGCTCAAAAATCATTTATTATGGTTAGCAGCTCCGTAAATAAAGATATTTTCACAACAACAATTAAAGTTGCATCATCATTTTTATAGAACAACAGCAAATTAAATTAACAATGTAAAAATATATTTTAACATTACATTTAAACATTTAACACAGAAACGTTAAAATAATTTCTTTAAATATATATTAATATTGAAATGCCAAGTATTTTTTACGTCATTGGAATATTATATTACTAAATTTTCAAATTAAATTTATTATACTTGGAAAACATTTTTAGCATTGTTACAATTTATAAATATAATTTCACCAGACGCCGCTAGAGGCGCTGCTTGCGAGTGAAAGTAGAAAATTTGCAAATAAAATTGCAAAGAATATTTATTTCAAATCAAATTCAAACCAGAAATCTTCCCAGTTGTTGTTGTTGTTGTCGTGTCCAAAGAAGAGTCTCAGATGTCTCCATGCATCTCCATCACAGCAGCAGCAATATCCACTATCTTGGGTGTGTAAAGCTGCTGCTCTGGGTCTAAGTCGATTTTCTGCAAGGCTGCGGCCATTGCTGGGCATGAGAATATGTGAGTAGGTGTTAGTTCCACACCAGGACAATTGTTGCACGCTTTATAAGTTCTTGTGCCATCTGGATGTATTGTCATTCCTTTATGGTGTTTTGTTCTAAGTCTTGTTATGGTTTTTGTCAGTTTTCTCTCAGAGTTTATTTCACATATTTGGTCTTTTCTTATTTTATGTTTGATTATCTTGTATTTTGCCAAAGCATCAGCGTCAAATACTGACATTTGTTCTTTCCTTTGGCTCAGCTTTCTGGCTTCCTTTGCCAATTCATCTGCCATTTCATTACCCTCGATCCCAACATGGGCAGGAATCCATTGTAGAATGCAGTTCTTCTCCAATGTTTCCATTTGGGTAAGTAATGAGTGTATTTTCTGCGTGATTCTAGTATTGCCCTTCTGAATTGCTTCTAGAGCGGATCTGGAGTCGCTGTATATTATGATTCCTTCTGCTTGATGCAGGGATGGTTGGTTCAGGCATACATCAAGGGCTTTCCAGATAGCTGTCAGTTCACAAGTGAAGTTTGACGAAATCTTTCCTGCTCCTTCTTTGATTTTGATGTGTGCTCCATCTTGGAGTATTATGTTAATACCGGCCCCTCCATTACTCAGAGTAAGGTCTGATGATCCATCTGTGTATGCTAATAAATATTTTTTCTGATCATATAAATCAATTGTATCAAGGCCCTTCTTTTTAAGTATAGTTTTGTTCTCTTTTTTATTGCAGGGTTCGTTCAGGTTGAGATTGATGATGATATTTGAAGGTAATGTGGTAGGAAATGTTGGTTCTTCTTGAATTTGAAAGTCACTGTGTTTCATGTTTATGCCTTTTCTAATGTTGTTGTCGTACTGAAGTGTTGAAGATCTTTTAAGTCTTTCTTTTTGTGTCCAGTTTAAATAGGTTCTATGGGATATGTGTTTGGCTTTTTTACTTTTTAAGCTATTTGTGAATTTTATTGTTTTTAATTGTCTTCTGCTTTCGAGTAGGTCTAGGCCACATTCTCTTTGAATTTTCTCATTATTGGTGGAAGAAACAGCACCAGTGATTATTTTGGCCGCTTTTGCTTGAACACTGTCTAGTCTTCCTTTTAGTGATGAGCTTGAGGGAGCCCAGACAGGTGTTGCATATTCCATTATTGGCCTTATTAAGGTAGTATATGTTGTTCTGAGGGTTTTGGGTTTTGCTCCCCAATTTGTTCCACATAACCTTCTCAGAATATTTAGTTTTCTGGTAGCTCTATTTGAGGTGCTAATTATGTGTTCTGTAAAACGCAATTCCTCATCAAGTATCACACCTAGGTATTTTGGATTTCTAATTTTATCAATTATTTGGTTGTTTATACTTATTTTGGGATTAAATTTATGCCTGTTTTTCCTGTCAGTGGAGAAGACGCATAGGTTTGTTTTTATTGGGTTTATGGTCATTTTGAGTTCCATTGCCCACTTCTCCAGTCCTCTCATTGATGTGTTCAGTATTTTTTCTGATTTTTCTATACTGCTACTTGTGTGCCATATGGCTATATCATCTGCGTAACAGGCAACCAAATTCTGGTTTTTTTCCAAGGTGACTAACGTGGCAACGGCACCCATTTTCCAATGAAGAGCAAAATCTTCCCAGTAGTATAGTAAATATAACTTCCTAAAGTTTCACGGCGATTGGATAATCTTACCTTTTAAAACCTTCATCGTGTGAACAAACTATCATTCATCGTGTAAACAAACCACGTGTTAATTGTTAACCAATCAAATTCATTTATTGTCGCGACCAGTGCTGCCACCAAGCGGTAAAAGGCTGGAACTAACGCTTTTTGTTTTTTATTTTTAAAAAAAAGCACATTAACTTTTTAGTTTTTTTTTAATAGCCTATATGTTAAACGAAATCATCAGCTACCTACATGCGAAATTTCATAATGATTGAGTCAGTAGATTTTGCGTGAAGCGATAACAAACATCGATTTCGCATTTCATTTTTATAGATATATATATATATATATATATATATATAATATAATCTATATATATATAAAAATGAATGTCTGTGTGTCTGTCTGTGTGTGTGTCCTCTATGGATTCAAAAACCATACATCCAATCGCCGTGAAATTTTGGGATATTATTAGGTATATCCCCGGAAAGGTTTACGAAAAATTATTTCTTTAATATCTTGAATATCCTTAGAGTTATTTGCAGATTTGTAGCTTTAACTCGCAAGCAGCGCCACCATTGAGACGGAGATAGGCTTTTTCAAGAGGGGGAGTAATGTTAGGAGAGAGGAGCGCGTCTCGAGGCGGGTGCTCACGTGTCACTGTTAAAAACCTATTTGTTTTGGCTACATCTTTTCCCGTGGACTTAACGATAACTTTTCTAAAACTCATTTCAAATTTCATGTATAATTATTTTTACATCATTTAGTTTAGTATAATTATTTACTATAATTTCCTATCGTTCAATTATTATACTTTTTGTTCTTAAAGATTATTTAAGACAATAATCTTTAATATTAGAAAGTGCTTTGCCAAAAGTTTGGAGTGGGGCAGACCCCGTGCGAGAATGGATTCGCCAGGCCGCCGGCCGACAGTCAAAGTACCCACCGACCAATCAGGGCAGAGTTGGTGACACAGTTATGCCAAGTAGACAAGAAAAAAAGCCTCGCGGGAGCGTGCCCAAGATGACCTCCGGGAACTTCGTCCATCTTCCATAAACGACCATGAATTTATTCAACCTTATCGAGTATTTTTCAAGGGACCGGGAAAAAATGTTCACTAGATAAAACGATGATTTTGTAATGTAGAAAATTAGGAAAGACAAAATTCAGAATGACACGGCACACAGGGACCGGGAAAAAATGATCACTTTATCAGTTTCAAATTATCAAAATATATCTATTTCTTTTTATAAGTCTATAGAGAATTGTTTTAACAAATGTTCGTTAGACAGACCTTTACTCGGGTACCGATTAATATTGAATTTATTCAACTTATCGAGTATTTTTCAAGGGACCGGGAAAAAATGTTCACTTTATCGAGAGATTCGTTAGACAAACCTTTACTCGGGTAAAACACGGGCAAATGTTCGTTAGACAAACCTTTACTCGGGTAAAACCTCGGGCGAAGCCGGGTACGTCCGCTAGTATAATATAATATAATATAAAGGAAAGGAAAGGAAGGATTTGATTTTATATTGCGAACGAACTTTTGATACAGTCTGTTATATATACAGAATATTTTTACTAATATAGATTTCATATACTTTATTTTAATTAGTTTTTTTCCAAGTTTTTCTATTTTTACCAGTTTCCTTTTCATATTTTTGATATTTAGAATTTTTTTTTTAAATTGACACGTCTTCCCAAGTCAATCTTCAACAATTCGCGTTACTTAGGCGGGATGGATGTTGAAATTTGCAACGTCTGTTGACACACCTAGGTTCATATCTACACACTGTCCTTCCTGGTGTAGGTTTGGTGTGTCTGAATGGACACTGCTTGTTGTGACATTTGGTCCCGAACTTACAGTTCTTCTTTCCGGGTCCTTGTTGGATCTCTTGATGCTTGTAGAGACAATTTTGGTTTCGACAATTGGACCCATATCTACATTCCTGGCTGCTTTTCCATGGTCCTTGTTGGGTCTCTTGATGCTGGTAGAGACAATTTTGGGTTCTACATTTGGAACCATATCTACAGTCCATGCTGCTTTGCAATGGTCCTTGTTGCTTGTGGAGTCTGCCTTGGGTTTGACACCTGACTCCAGACTCAATGATGCTTTGTTGGGAACCTTTTTGGCTTTCCTGGTGTCTGTAGAGACAGATGTTTCCATATTTGCACCTCTTCCCATATT